CCAGTAAATACCACTATCATTCAGATATATGCACCAACAACCAGAGCCAAAGAAGAAGAAATAGATGATTTCTACCAACTTTTACAGTCAGAGATAGATCGAACATGCAATCAAGATGCATTGATAATAATGGGTGACTGTTTCCCTAGCACAATTAAATGTATGAGAGGGGGTCTCTGGATATTGGGTGGACTCATGGTGGTCCATGAGGTCCTTTCTTTGCTTGGGATGGTCCAGAGAGCCCAAAGGGTGCTCTTCTCTTTGCTGGCTGGGACAACTCAGACACCTGAGTGTGTAGCAGCCTGAAGGGCTCTTCCTTCTCTCTGGTTTAATATTTAAGGTATGGTTACATATATTTGCTTTTTTAACAGATAAGACTCTGATTGCATATATCACCTGGATTTCCACAATTTCTTATTACCATACCAACCTATTTACAATTATTAGGGTTTATGGTCTTTACATATATTCTATAGATTACAGTGAATTATGGTTGATTAAACTGTACCTCTATTATTCTGTCCTCTTAATAGTAGAATTATAAATCCCTGCCCTCATCAATCTAACTTGCATCACTTCTCTGTGAGAATACTACATTCATCTTTAGCGTGAGTCTTTGACACTGTGCCTTATTTTGATAAGTGGGATATAACAAAGAGATATGTACCACTTCTAATAACAAATTTTATATTTTTTATTCTTTTAATTTTTATTTGGGTGAAAAATGGTTTTTCATTCAGCAATTTATACACACTGTTCCATGTTGATCACAATCCACACATGCCACACTGCCTCGCCATATTTCCAATTCCCACTACTTTTTCCCCCCTATCATTTCTTGCTTTCTAATTTTTTTCTTGTGCAGATGATGTCCTTTAGATTTTAAATGGTTGATTGTACTAGGGCGTAGAAATCTCAAGAGAGTTATTATTTTCCTTATAAGTTTGTATATTGTTTGGTCAAAAATTTAAACATATAGGTAAGTTCAGTTCCAGCCTTTGAGATCCACTGATGACCATAGTCTCAAGAATTTTGTACATTTCCATCTTACTAGTGATCCCAGATTTTTTACAATTGTGAATATGTTTCATATTTTCTCCCGTCTAGTTCTTCTGGCTAAAAACAGATTTTAAGAGTCAATTTTTTTTAACTACTTTTCCATTTCATTTTATCATAAGAATAGCACATTCCAGGTAGGAGTCATTCTTCAGTCTCATCAGAGACTACAAAGGCCACTGTCACATTAGATTGGTAAAGACTATGAGCAATGTATGAATCTTTGCCACTGCTTTACATCAGTCAGGTACTTGAGATTCTTGTTTCAGCACCATAAAGCAACAAGTTGATGAGTACAGTCAGGTTGGCTCCATGTGTAACATTTATTCCACTGGTTAAGTACTATCTTGACTCAACTATATAATTTTGATTGTAAACACTGTTCCTCTGCTCTCATTGGATATTCCACTTCTTGTACTTCTTGCTTCTTCTAGGTCCCGTTCACCAGGCCACCCTATTACACTTCATCATCTTGAGAAAAGCTCCCTTAATGTCCTTGTTCCTCAGGCTATATACTATAGGATTGAGCAAAGCCGTGAAGACATTGTAAAAGAGTGAGATCTGCTTGTCACGTTCAGGAGAATAGCTAGAATTTGGCCTCAGGTAGATGTATATAGCTGGAACATAAAAGAATATGACTGCAGTCAGGTGGGAAGCACAAGTGGAGAAGGCCTTGAAACGGCCACTGATGGACTTGATCTTGAGAATAGCCAGAACAATATGGATGTAAGATATCAAAATGATAAAAAGTGGGGTAACATCCACAAACACACTCATTACAAAGTCTATCATTTCAATAATGTGGGTATCCATGCAAGCCAAGCTCCTTACTGAGGGGCTTTCACAGAAGTAGTGGTTGACAATATTGGGCCCACAGTAAGGCAAACTCATGGTGAAGAAGGTGTGAATCAGAGAGAAAAAGGAACCACAAATCCCTGTCCCAGCTGCCAATATTGTGCATATTTTCCAGCTGAGGATAATGGTATAACGTAGTGGGTGACAAATAGCTACATATCTGTCATAGGCCATGACCACAAAGAAGATGCATTCTGTGAGACTCAGGGAACCAAACACATACATCTGTATCCAGCATGCAGCAAAAGAAATTGTCTTCGAATGAGCAAGAAGATGTACCAGCATTTGAGGCATAGTGGTGGTGACATACCCCATGTCTAAAAAGGAGAGGATACAGAGAAAGAAATACATGGGAGTGTGAAGATGAGAGTCCAGGCAGATCAGAGTGACAATGAGCCCATTGCCTAGGATTGAGCTGAGGTACAGGAGAAGGAAGACAAAGAAGAGAATCCTGTTGGAGACTGGGTCACTGGAGAAGCCAAGCAGGATAAATTCAGAAACCCAGCTTTGGTTCTGCTCTGGAGGAAGCCTCATAGTAAGACCTGTAAGAAAATGACATTATATAAATATCATTGAAAGTATGGTAGCCTGGCAAGATTACCAAATCTTCAAGAGAACCTAATCCCACATTCTAATCCGACTATTCGTTGTTCAGGGCTCATTAGTAGGAGGATTTTATACTGGCATGGCTCTCTTTCTATCTCCCTAGATTCCCATGAAAACTTCATTAGATGTCTGTAAGACCAATTAAATATCTATCATGAAGTATAATGCTATTAGTGATAGGACAATATTCACACATATACGAGGAAGACCTGTTAATGCAATTAGTCACATGTACTCACCTATGAGTCTGAACCAACTCAACAGCACCTACCGTCACATACATTTCCTCAGATATACGTGTGTCCTTGTGGAGCATATTTTAATGCCTGCGACTTTTTAATGTATATAAACAATCTTTTATGAGTAGGTTGTGAGTTCTGAGCATCCTCAATTATATGAAAGTAAGTTTCTATTTGTTGAGTACATCCATTTGCGGTATCTCTGTTACAGCAGTGGTAGTGAGTGGGACGATTGAACTAGCTCAACAATGGACACACAGCCCAATGGAATATAATTGACAGCCAGAAATAAACCTCTAGATTTCATAACAGGCTTCCTGGAATTCCTCTTGTCCTTTTCATTTCATATGGGGCTTCTGCTTTTGCTTTTACCAGCTTGTGTTTGCCCAGACTCATGGCCTTAACTGACTTCAGTGTTGCTACAGTCACAAGGAAAAGGAAGGAATGTGTACCCAACAAGGTAAAAGTGGGAAAAAAGTACTAAAAAAGATAATTGTTATCATTGCTTATTGACACCCCAGTTGATTCCTACTTCTGACATCCTTAAATAATAATGCAAACAAGAAAGAGAATGAGGAGATAAACAATGAGAAAAAAATAGAAAATAGTAAATATGAACATATTTATTTAAGTAATAAGGGAAAATGGGTTAAATACTTTAATTACAAGATGCATTTTTAATGAGTTTTTTTAAAAAAAAATCACTCCATTGCTCTACAACCAGGAGAAGATAAAATAGATGAATGGGACCTTCTAAGAATCAAATCCCTATGCACATCCAAAAACTTCTCCAATAGAGTAAAAAGGGAAGCCACAGACTGGGAAAAAATATTTGGTAATGACATGTCAGATAAGGGACTTATAGCCGGAATTTATAAAATACTTGAACACCACAATA